GCCTGTGCTCGGAAGAGGCACAGGGAGCTGGGTGAGCTGTTTGCTCTCAGGCTGGCACACCCAGATCAGAGTCCAGGCACCAGGTGCCTGTGTGTTGCTCTGTACAGGCAGTCTCCATCCAATAATACAAGGAGCAGGAGAGGTTACTGTCAGCCACATCTTCCTCTGTGTGTCACTTCCCTGAGCAGGGGCAGATAGCAGAGACATTCAGGAAGAGGCACAGGGAGCTGGGTGAGCTGTTTGCTCTCAGGCTGGCACACCCAGATCAGAGTCCAGGCACCAGGTGCCTGTGTGTTGCTCTGTACAGGCAGTCTCCATCCAATAATACAAGGAGCAGGAGAGGTTACTGTCAGCCACATCTTCCTCTGTGTGTCACTTCCCTGAGCAGGGGCAGATAGCAGAGACATTCATAATTCTAGGTTATTCATAATTCTAGGTTATTTCACCACCCATTTCCCTGCTCTTAGAGAATGCTGAAATTCATAGATTCTCCTTCTGACTTGAGTTTTTGAGGCCTTGCTGTATGAATTCCTGACTTACATTTCTCTGGGATGAGTCCACAATCTGCAAGGTATATACATGGTGATCTGTGCAGGGTTTGAAGTCTTGTTCTGCTTGACTTTCTGTTTGAGCCCAACTCCAGCAAGCTGAAGTGGCATCCCTGGTATTCCTGTTCACTGAAGGTTGAGCAGCACTGGATCCATGTTCATCTGAGGGCTGAGATGCCATAACATGTTTTTTGATACCAGTTTTCTTTGCTCCTCCAGACATTGTGCCTGCAGAGAGATGCCTGAAACGTGCAGCATTTTCTTCCACAAACTTTGAGAACATCCTGATCTGGGAAACGGAACCAGATATTCCTCCTGGCACTGCATTTGATGTCCAATACAAACAGTAAGTGAGGTTTGCTTGTTGTTCTCAGGGTCACTGATCTCAGAGAGAGAAGGGCCAAGAAAGAAAAGTTGATTTTGCTGTTTCTCCTGTCTGTTTTGCTGTACGGAAATGGTTCTGCTTGGAGGAGAACTCAGTGAAGGACAGGGTTATTCAAACTGGTAGATGGTGCTCAGTTAGGCAAATATTTTAGATCTTGAGTTGCCAACTTTATTCCCTTACTGAGCTACTCTTTGCCTTCAACAACTTCCTTCTCTCCACTGTGTCATTTCCTCAGTGGTAATAGTTAACAGCAATTCCCTTCCTCTGGTCGTGTCCTACCAAACAAACTAAAACTTTGTTTTGCCCTCAGGTATGGAGAAAAATCCTGGCTTAACAAGCCTGAGTGCCAGAGTATCACACAGCCCTTCTGCAATCTCACTCGTGAAACAGAGAACTTCACAGAGCACTACTATGCCAGGGTGAGAGCCACGGGCCGGAGCCGCTGTTCCTCCGGCTGGGTGCGCTCCGAGAGGTTCGAGCCACGCAAAGAGAGTGAGTACTGCTCTGGGAGCCACCCCAGCCTGCCACTGGGGGCCCACTCCTGCTCTGGCTGAGGTTTCTCCTCTTGTTTCAGTATTGCAAGGCTCTGTGCTTGATGGGGAGGGAGAGAAGGTCTTATCACCCTCCACAACTCCCTGACAGGAGGTTGGAGTCAGGTGGGGGTTGGTCTCTTCTCCCAGGACAAGAGGGCACAGACTCAAGCTCTGCCAGGGGAGGGTTAGGTTGGATATTAGGAAGAGATTTTTTAGGGAGAGGGTGCTCAGGCATTGGAATGTGCTGCCCAGGGAGGTGGTGGATTCACCATCCCTGGAGGTTTTCAAGATGAGACTGGATGTGGCACTTAGTGCCATGGTCTGGTAACCACAGTAGGGTTGGACTTGATGATCTTGGAGGTCTTTTCCAACCTGGTTGATTCTATGATTCTATGTGACACTGCTTGTTCTGTCGTTTCTAGCTGTTATAGGAGCACCACAAGTGGAGCATTTTCCCCATGCAAGGTCCATAAAGTTTGTTATCAGCCCCCCCTACACTCCACTGCGAGGGGAGGATGGTCGTCAGCTCACCGTGGAGGACATTTACAGCAAATTTGGTGCTATGGATTATCACTTGACAATATTCAACCAAAGGACACACCAACAGGTAAAGCACAACCTCAGGCACTGACCTGTGATCTGGTAAATTGTGTTTTGGATAAGACGGAGAAGGAGATTTTTGATGTACAAAGGGAAGTCGCAGAGTCTGACTCTCAGCAGACAACATGAACTTTGAGCATTCCTCTTAAATTCTGGGTTAAAATTGGAGTTTCCAAGAGTACTGCATAAGTAGCCAAAAGTTAAACCACTGGTGACTAAAACCAGTGCCTTAATTAGTTCAAGTCTGATGGAAGTAAAGCACAAAATTAAATACAGTAACAACAGAAAACAAAATTACATCATCTAGAATTCCATATCTACAAAATAATTATAGCCCTATAATTCCTGATTGGTAAATAATATTTTATGCTGAATTTTGCATTCTGATTTGAAGAAAGTGGAGCATTTAATCTTTCTAAAAGACAGAATTTGCCTTTATTTTAAACAGTGGACAAAGAACGAGCACAACAAAGAATTTGAAATTTCCGACTTGGACCCGAACACTGAATATAATGGAACAGTTTATATGTATGTCCTCCAGAGGAGAAGCAAACCTCAAGTGTTTCGGGTCAAAACACTAGAAGGTGAGGCTGTTAACTCTCACTGAGAAGTCCAGTTGGGATGTTGGATACACAAAATACACTGGTTTTTAGCAAGGAACTCTGACTTCAATAGCTAAAACTCTTGTCCTTTGAGACTAGACCTAGAACATGGTTTAGCTAATCTCATGCAGTTTTTCTAACCCAACTCCCTTTCCACTTGTTCTCTTCCCCACTGAGCAGACAAGACATGGCTCCTCTACTGTTTGGTGTCGTTGGCATTCTGTGCTGGGTTGGTGTTTGCTGCCATCAGTTATGTGATCTACAAATATGTCAAGCAGCACCGTGCCCAGCCCATGTCTCTGGTAAGTGTTCTTCAGCCACTGCAGCAAAGCCTTGAAATCCCAGAATGGTTTGGCTTGGGAGAGACATGAAAGAACATCTTGCCCAACCCCCTACCATAGGCAGGGACACCTCCCACTAGCCCAGGTTGCTCCAAGCCCCATCCAACCTGGTCTGGAACACTCCCAGGGATGGAGTAGCCACAGCTCCTCTGGGCAACCTGTGCTAGTGTCTCAGCACCTCCCAGGGAAGGATTTCTCCCTAATATCTCATTCAGCCCCACTCTCCTTCAGCCCCAAATGCTCAGGACTGTGTGCCTGCACTTAACCAGCATTGCTAATTGAGGGTGACTGAGGCTTGTCCAGACAATCACTGCAGAATACTGATAGTTTATAGAGGGGTGCTCAGAACTCCCCCAAACTGGGGCCCTTTGAAGGAGGATTAGGTTAGGCAGCTAAACCTGAGGCATCCTAAATCCCTAGTTCCCTTTGAAACCCTGAGGTTCTCACCTATCCCTGGTCCCTGCAGTGAGCACTGGTTCTGCATGTGGAATGAGCCTAAGGACAATCTATTTCCATGCTCCAGGGCTTAGGCCAAATTTTGCAAAAGTTAAAGCAGGAATTTTTCTTCCTCATATGTTAGGATTGCACAGCTGCCCTGATGCATAGTGAGAGATGTCTGTATTCCTGTGAAGGGTCATTACCCAGGGAAACAGAGTTCTTTTGTCAGCAGAGCAGATTTCATGGTGGCTGTTACTGGGTTTTACTGACACTTCTCCCAAAAAAACTTTGAAAGAACCAAAAGCAAACCTTCAAGGCTCTCTGTTAATTACTTGTGCTTGTTTATCTACTCCAACAGGACTTCAGAGGGATTTCATCATTCCAGCCTCTCACACTGACAGTGGAGCATATCATAAAGCCCATCAGCTTATCCAAACCTTCACTTTTCATCCCTGAAGTGCAGCTACCACCGATGAGCCAACACTTGGACCAAGCACTGCAGCCACCATGGTCTTTCCCTCCCCCAGAAACTGCCTATCAGCACCAGGTGGCTGTACCAACATTCCAGCTTCCCCCTAAGCCATCCTCTGTGGAAACTGCAGCTCCAACTGGTTATGCTCCTCAAACAGCTAAGCAAAGCATCCCTACTGCCACATCCAGCAAAACCCTGCCCCTGACCTATGGGATGTGTGTCGAAGGCACAGACCACGCTGACAAGAAGTTGCAGCCAGACCAAAAGCTAAAGGAAATTCCTCCAGATTGTTCTGTGGATGGAAAGCTCACAGCTCAGGTGCCAGCAAAGAGCTGCAGCCATTGGAATTACAAAGAACAGCAGCCAAACGTGGCACTGTGCAACAGCAGGGACAGAATAGAGTCAGTTGTATTCCCAGGGAGCCCTGGGCAGACACAACTGCTGCTGCAGACTGATGGGGTGGGAAGCAGAGAGTGTGTGTCTCAGCTGTCCCTGTCTTTGCTGGAACCAGGAGGAGGCTACAGAAGACAGACAGCAGAACTGCCACTGCTGTTGTCTGCAGTGAGAGCTAACACAGACTATGTTCCAAAGGATGAAGTGCTGTCAGCTCTGCCAGCATCTCTCCTTCTCTCCGTCCGGACTGGGAATGACTTCCCTGGAGAGAACAGCACAGAGCAGTGGATATTACCAGATTCATTCTCACATCCTACAAACAAAGTGCAGTTCCCAGAGACTCCAGCAACAGAAATGTTCATGGCAGCAAAGGGGCTGAGCTGCACAGACCTCTCAGCCCAGGACAGGGACACTCCTCTCACTATGCTCTTCAAAGATTTGGACTTGAAAGTACAGTGGGATGAGAATGAGGACATACCATTTTATTAGGATGACTTAATGATGTGAAAATCCAGATGATGTTTGCTTGCATGAAACAGATCCTCCCCTGCCAACAGTGCAATGCAATAAACAGCTTCTCCTGGCTGTATTGACATGGCACTGGTTGTCACTGTGGAGATTGGTACCTTTACTGACACACTCACCTCTGCACATTGCCATGCTCTATCTTTGCACTTAAACAACAGGTTTTTATTTTGTACATATTCTTCTTTAAAAGCTAAGATTCAAATTCCAGATCCAGTTTGCTGAAAATGTAGGAAAATTCACACCAGAAACTGTCTTTGCTCTTTACCAACACCAAAGATCCAGGTCCAAGGTGTATGCAGCCTGTGAAGAAATTCAGGTGAAGGTGTCTGCAAACCTAAGCAGAATTAAATGTACCATGGTACAGTAAAGTAAGTAAGTATATATTGGTGTTCTACCCTTGGATATGATTCCTGGAACACAGTAGGCTCCTTCCCTGACATGGACTTTGCCTTTAAAGCAGTCATTGAAACTGGGAAACAGTTCCTGATGCAGCAGTTTTGGTAAACATCATGTCCCTGCCCCACTGTGCTCTTGAACACTTGTACAGAGATAAAACCTCTTTCATCTTTGCAACAGATTCAGGCAGACTTAGCCCAGTTCTGAGACATTGCTCAGCTGCTGCTCCTTTCTCTCTCTGCAATAGTCACATTTTCCCTTGAAATCCCTGGGGATGAAGCACCTAGGCTCACATTCCACTTAGGCAGGAATGTGAGAACTCTCAGTTCAACCCTCAATCAATCAAACCTCAAAGTTTATCCCAATCTCAATTCATGCACTCAGTGATCTATGAATGAGATCAGGGAGGTCTTGAGCTGCTTCCTCCCACCCCTCACTGGCACTGGATGAGGAACATGCTCCAAGTGCCTGACAGAGAGGAGTCTATGACAGCAGAGCCCTCCTGTGCTCCTGATCCAGCACACCCAACCTCCAGGCCTGCCATGACCCAAACCCAAGGGAAACTGAGTGCCAAACCCTTTTAGCTCTGCACCTTCACCAGAAACAAGCTAAATGCTGCTTAGTCAGAGGACAGAGGAGGCAACAGTTTCTCATTCAGAGGGAAGCATAGTTCAGCCTGTCGGGTTCTACTGCTGTGGTGAAAAAAACTGTGCCTGATGATCTCAGTTTTACAGGAGAACTGAAAGCATTTACAGGAATAAGAAAGGTTTGAATGGTATGGGGAAGTATTCAAAGAGCACTCACAGACTAAGGCTAAGCAGAAACAAAACTCATCTGGTCTCACTCTAAGTACACTTGGGTGTTTCTCAGTCCAGGGAAGCTGAAGCTAAAAGCTAAATTCCAAGTGCTTTGGTGTGATTTTGTACATAAACCACAGCCTGGTGAAGTAAAGGGGTTTGATGATTCAACCCAGGACTAAAGGGATAGGCTTAGAAACTTTACAGACAAAGGTTCAGCAACAGCAACTGACAAAGCACCATGGGCATGTCACCTGAGGCCAAAAGGTGGAAATTCTAGGTGTGGTGAAGAGGTGTCATGGCACAGGGACCAAAGGTTTGAATACATGCAAAGTCTGGGCAGCCACCAGAAGGACATTTCCACTGAGCTCACTCCACTTCACACCATTCAGTATCAAAGGGTTTGTGGAATGCCATTTGATCCCTTTCATGTACTCTCTGCCCCAACTACAGCACCAAAACCAACACACACAGACACACTGCAGCCACAGGAGCTGCAGTAGCCCCACTGTGCTGTTCCTGAGGAGTGTGAGACCCCAGGGGTAACATTCTGCCCCACTAAGCCTCCCCAGAGACATATTTCAAGCCTGTGATGACATTTACCTTACTCAGAGTTGCCTGTGGGCTGCATATCTTGTGTCAACAACATTCCCAGCAATGCTACTCAGGGAATAATCAAATGCCACAATGTCAATATTTTGGCTTATGTTGTGAAACACGACCCTGAGCACAGGTCAGTGTGGGCAGTGCCATGGGGAAAGGACAAAGCCTTAAGGAAGCATTTGAAGATGCTGCTAAGAAATACATAGAATCACAGAATCAGCCAGGTTGGAAAAGACCTCCAAGATCATCAAGTCCAACCCTCCCGTGGTTACCAGACCATGGCACTAAGTGCCACATCCAGTCTCAGCTTGAAAACCTCCAGGGATGGTGAATCCACCACCTCCCTGGGCAGCACATTCCAATGCCTGAGCACTCTCTCTGTAAAAAATCTCTTCCTAATATCCAACCTAACCCTCCCCTGGCAGAGCTTGAGTCTGTGCCCTCTTGTCCTGGGAGAAGAGACCAACCCCCACCTGACTCCAACCTCCTGTCAGGGAGTTGCAGAGGGTGATAAGGTCCCCCCTGAGCCTCCTCTTCTCCAGGCTGAACACCCCGAGCTCCCTCATTTCCTACTTTAAAAACCTTTCCAAATCCCCCTGCAAACTCCCTGCCACAGGGGCTAAGCACATCCAGCCCTTAACAAATGCAGCACCTTGGTGGAGAAGAGATGGGAACTGAGGCATGGAAAACCTAGGAACAGATCTTTAGAATGGATGTAGGCACCTAAAGATACAAAGATCCCACAGCTGGGACGTCAATCTCTCCTTCAGACATCTTAAATACCTTCAAAGCTGCATTGCCTCTGACTGCTGACAAAGGCTGTACATGGTAGTAATGATCCAGCCCCATCCCACCCTGTCTGTCCCAGCCCTAACAGCAGCAGCTGTAAGGATCAGTGATCACAATAAAGAGAGAGGCTGAGCCGTGACTCAAGGAGGTAACTGACTGCAACACTCTCAACTTCCTGCTCACATCACACCTTCGTCAATATTGATCTTTTAGGCCTTGATCTTCCAAGCAGAAGGAGATTGAGTCTTGTCTCATGAGTCACCTCTTAAATTTAACAGGAAGATCATCCCTTCTAAAGCTATTTCTCTCTGGAAAAGCTTAGAAGGAGATGTTGACACCATTAAATTTTATTAGAGCTGTGCAAAGAATGTGTCATTCACTCCTCATCAGCTTGTGCTGACCTTCTTGCCTTCCACTTCACTGCTGTTCCTAACAGCAATGTTCATGTCAAACAGCTACTCCAGGACCTCATTATCTTGGTCTTGTAAGAACATTTCCAGATGAACAGCAGGATTTCAATACCGTTTCAAAGGTCTCCCTGTGCAAACCATCTGTGCCTCATAACACACTGTTCCTCACTTATATTGCCTTTTCCAGATAGCACTTCTGATAGCTCTGGAGAAGAAAAGCTGGAAGTGCCATGCCACAAAGGCTGTGCTTATTCCCAGGCAGATGTCAGGCCGATGACAGGTGAGCGTTCCGGTCCCAGTTGTCACAGGGATATGAGAGTAGCAGGTGGCAGCTGTAACCCTAGAGCAAAGCATGACTCTTTGTCTTCTCAGCTAAATCTGGGAGCTGTCACTTACTCACTCCCAGACCAGCAGTCCTGCCTGAAGCTCACCAGGAATCCTTGCCCAGGGTTGAGCGTTGCTGCAGGCTGAGGCTCAGGTTCTCCCTCCCTGTTTGCTTGTTGTTTCGCTGGTCATTTTTTGGGAAGTCCTTTGAGAAATATCTTTCTCAAGGCACAGATGAAAAGCTCCAAATTCTGGAGACACAATGAAGCAGAATTCATAGAATCATGGAGTATACTGAGGTGGGAGAGACCCACAAGGATTATCCAGTCCAACTCCAAGCCCTGTACAGGACACCCCAACGATCCACCATGTCCCTGAGAGCATTGTCCCAATGCTCCTTGAGCTCTGTCAGCCTTGGGGCTGTGCCCACTGCCCTGGGGAGCTGTTCCAGTGCTTTCTTCTCTGGCTGAGCTAATGAGAGCTGAGAGACATGATTGTAAGATACTTTTCTAAGATAAAGGTGCCAAAAATATCCATATGAGGGGAGCACACGCTTAGACTCCCTCCCTTAAAACATATAACAGAGGATTGAAAGAAAGTATTGGTATTAAGCAGAACAGACAATAATTACTCATTGCTTCTCATAGCACACAATGCAGGAAAGAACTCAAGAGGTCCTGTAACTGTTCAAAACCAGTGAAAGAGAAGTGTTCCTTCCCTCTGACAGCTCAGCTTATAGCAAAGCTCTCAGGCATTGCCTGCCCAGCAGTACCTATCACTGCCTGGGGAGGGATGATTGAAACACAGACACTAAATAAACTTCCCCCCTGGAAGTCCTTGCAGTGCTGATCCTGCTGAGTTTCATCTTTGGTTGGTGAAGCCAACAAGGTTCTCAGACATGGATCCTACTGATGCAGGCAGAGTGACTCAACCTGGGCCTAATTTGATGGTTGGATTCATTTCCATAAGATTTTCTGACACCACAAATATATCACCTGCTTCTCACACCACTGGGAAAGGTGGAACAGATCCAGGTGGAGCTTCTCACACTGCTGGGAAAAGTTTATCCTGAAGGATAGAACTGCAAGACTATCTCAACTAAATGCAAAACCAGCAATGTCTGTTCTTTGACCCTACCTCAAACTCCCAGACACCACCTTGGGCAGCTGGATACCAAGCTCACCTGCCACTGAGGCACCAAGACTTCTTTTGCCAGTCAAAAGGAAAATAAACCAGTCACAGCCAACCAAAACATGAGAGCTGCTGTCACTCCTGGTCTAATTATACACTGACAGGATTTGGCTGGAGTTGACATTCACTAAATAGATGTCAAAGCAAATGATTTCGCTCTATTATGCAGCAATGACAAGGTTAACCCAAGGGAAATTCCTGGAGGAGATTAAAATATGCATAATGAGATGCTTTGTGAGCTTCTATCCTAAAAGGGCAGAGGAGAATCCAATAGTGTGGATTTTGGAGGCACCTGTCCTTGCTGCCATCGTTTGGCAAAGGCAATAATTTGAGTTTGTGAGCAGTTGGCATGGCAGCAAACAGCTCTGCCCGGGTCTCCCCATTGTCAGGGCAATGGCATGGCAGGAGGCTATATTTGACTGCAGGATGGGCACTCCAACATGGGGAACATTCTTTTGGGGAGAGTCATTCTTAGTGTCATCACCAGGGAGAAGGGAAGGCTCCTTTGTCCTTCCTCTTGCCCGAGGACAGGCACTCTCACTGCAGTCTTCACTGGGTGAGTCTGGTTTATCTGCAAATAAACTTACTGTTTAGAGTGAGGTTTGATAAGATTTTCCTAGCAGCATCAGTTATTTTGTATGAAACTGTCTTTGAGTGGCACTTCAGGAATAGACTGTGCTTTGTGATTGGAGCTGCTTTAAAGTGTAAGGAGTGTTTGTCCAGTGGTGTTGTTGTGAAAATAATGGTTTGCTTCGTGTTTTTTCACCTGAATCTGTTCTGCTTTACTGGTTTGTTTGGAAAAACATATGTACTTGGATTGAAAGTGGAGGTTTTAGCAGGTCAGAACTCTGTATCTTTACATAAGCAGCAGATTATAAAGCATTGCTAATTTTCCAGGGGAAAACAGAAAACATTATCTAGCAAAAATTAATCTGTATCAGTGACTACTCATGAACCTGAAAACAGAGATCTGATGCCCAGGAGTCATTCTGCAGCTGAAACAGTCCTGAAGAGAGCAGTATTCCATGAAATTACAAAGATGTTTCATCCATAAAAACCTGTTTGATTTTCTCTTACTTATACTTGCCAACATCTCTTTGTTTCTTCCAAAGTTAACACCTCCTAAGGAAATATTATCACAATAATTCTGTGTTTTCATTTGCATGTTGGGATATTTTGCATTGACAGCTCTGCTTTTTCCATCCAACTGTGGTTTTCCACGGATCATTCATAGGAAATTTGTTTACATAAACAGAAAATTATCCTATTGAAAAAACTGCACGGGAAAATTGTCCCAGGAAAAGCTGAGAGCTCTGTGTTTTATTGAGTTCAGATTAGAAAGCAGTAAAGCTAAAATCCAGGTGGAAAATCTGCCAAGGGAAAATTTCAGTCATGGAACATGAGCTAGGGA